AAATTTAGTATACCTTTTTCATCGTCGACCATTTGGGCATATTTTTTTTCTTCTTCCCTTTTTCTTGTAGCAGTCGAGAGTTGTTATGCATGGTTTCCATTCTGCGTTGGCAGTTTCAAGTGTACTAATGTGTAATTCAAAGCGCATAATTTTTTCTTCAATTATTCTTTTTCTGGCTTCGTATTGTCTTTGCGTTTCTTCTTTAGTTACCATTTGATCCAATGGTGATAAATCCATTTGTTTAACTTCTTCAAGAAGCTTTTCCATTTTTTCTTTTGCCGGTTGTGCGTCTTTGATTATTATGAACGACATGTTCCCGGCTCGTGGCACCAAAAATATACTGTGAAAGATGTGTGAATGTCGAGGAGGTTATTGATTTTAAGGTTGGGTTGATTTGTGTTGCAGGATTGTGTTTCCTGGCAATAATAGTTGATTGTTGTATTAGATTAAGATCTGATTGATTAGGCTTGAATTCCTGTTGGCCTAGAATATTTGTTCCAGACACTATTGAATTGGTTGAAGTGACTACGCCAACAGATTGTTTATTGGACAGTATAAATGTGTTGACGACAATAACTGAAGTTGACTGTGTGTAAAGCTGCCAAAATTCACAATGAATCCAAAATCTTGCAGTCACCTTATTTAAAGACAGTTGCAACAAAGGGATGGATGTGGAAATGGATAAAAAGATGATATTCCTATTTCGCAATGTAGTGAGTACTAATAGATAATCCCAGGGTCAGAACAATGTCATGTTAAGAAAGGAAGAAGCAATGAGGATAAAGAGCTTTGTGGGATTACTTGTTAGCTGCATCGGTTTCAATAGAGACAAAGAACATTTAAGGAGCAAAGGCATTATAAAGCAATCTCTCAAAGAATTAAAGTTAGCAACGAGGACAATTCAAATGTAGCTTGAAATCCAACAAAGATAAATTGCGAAATACAACTTCTTAAATTTCATTGTCAGTGATACAAATCTCAACTGATGTGATTAATTTAATATCAGAAGTTTTCGGATTTCCCGACAATAAACTTCATAAATAAACTGTATTATTTCGATTGAATGATTTCCACGATGTAACAGTATTTCTTGTATTGGAAAGGGAAGAATACTCGTTAGCGTGCTGTCTCTTCAAGAATTTGTATTGATATTACAAATGATATAATTAGGCAGAATTTTATTGCGGATTGAATTATTTTATTGCAGAAAGAATTAAATTCTACTATTTTTTAATCATCATAGAAGTGAAGCTCAGCTTTGTTAACTTTAAGTCTATTCAATTTTTTTTAAATGAAAATTGTTTGTTAAACTTTCGTTTTGTTACTTTATTAGTCATTCGACGTTTGTACTGTTGCTGATAAAGGAGATGAAGTAGAAATATTGCTGTTTCTTTTCCTAAATTTTCTTGCATGCTCCACAGCCAAATTGTATATGGAGTTAATTGGTTTTTAACAATTCTGGCTAATTATGACATCGGATATTTAGAAGATTTATGAACTGAAGCAGAAAAAGACAAGCGTTTATCACTGATTCTGGGATTACCCACAATTAATTGATGTATCATCGTTGTAACCTGAGAGGTGATAAAATGATATGAGTATATTCTCATAAGTTATTATCGATCGTTTAGTATTTCTCAACACTAAGATCAATAAAATCAATAATAAAATTGGAGATTTTGCATTTATTGTGCCGTTAGCTATCTAAACGATAATCAAAAGATAGTTGAGAAATTTATGAAATTGCTGAAATATTATCTTCCGATGTCGACAGCAGTAATTTCGATCAATCATTTTGCTTATCGTTCAATTGCTCAGATTCATCTATGCTTGTGGACGATGAGGTTTGATCTGTTTCATTGCTAGCCTTATTATTAAAAATTGCGATGCTTCTATTATCACTTGATTTAAAATAGATTGAACTCTCTGAAACAAAAAAAAGAACATTTGAAGTTTAATTATTAAAATAGAAATTGAATTATTAAGATAATCTACAGAGATTTATAATTTAAACATAAAAGATGATAAAATTTAAATACACGTTCGTTACTTGCATGACGTAACATAACAAGAACGTGTTCAAAACCTTTACTATCAGGCGAACTACCGGCCGTCTCACGCTGTTTTCTTGATTGCTTATTTTTGCTGGATTTCGTCGTATTACCTGAAATAAAAAAAAATATTCAAACAATATCTTCTTTTCATTATATGTATGAATTTTTATTTAAATTTTTTCTTACATCTCTGATTTCATGGAATTTTATGAAATTAATTGGTTTAAATTCTTCTTGCTATTTTACATCTAGCTATAATAATTACCAATATTACTTATTTTTAAATAATTTAAATATATGCTTCCTAACATTAGTATGTTCTTCTTATTTCCCTTTCACCTTTCTTTCTGTTTAAAAGAGTCATATGAAGTTGAAACAAAGATTATACATTTTAACTTTGTTATTCAAAGTTTTGCAAAATTTCGAAACTAATTCCATCTTTAAATAATGAAAAGATAAGATTAAGTATTGATAGATATTGATTGAAGCCTGAGATTATATTATTTTATTTAAAAATTTACTTTTAGTAAGCTTCTCCGTCATATTTACTAAAAATTCTATTTTCAACTCATTAAAAGTTACACTCTATTCAGTTAAAAAGTTTTATTTGAAATTCGTCTTAAATTTGTTCATTTAAAAAAATGCGATGTAAATATTTCAATCAGTAAGAAAAAAAAATTAGAATTTCTTTTATTTCTTACTACTTTCATCTTTTGATATTTTCATTTCATTTGTCGCTTTTTTGTTTACTATTTCCTTTTTTTCTGAAAAAAATTCTTTTGGAAAAAGGGTTTTTTTTTCATAGATAAATACGAATGCATTTATTTAATTAATGTGAAGAATGGAAATTTTGATGAATTTTTATAAAAATCATCCGTTAATTCTAGTTTCATATTATGTTTTTGTGATTAATTGTAATTAATTAAAATGCACAACATTGTGTTTGCACACTTGTGTATGTTTTTTTTTTTAATTTTTTATAATGTAAATTAGCATCAAATTGTATCGTCAACTTTATAATTACAAAAATTAGCGAAATAACTCAATGAAATAGAAAATGTGATAAAACAAAATGATTTGAAAGATTGAAGTTTTTTTCATTAAAAAAGCAATAAATAATCGATGATAATTATAATGGTTCAGTTTCAGTGGTCTTAACAAGAAGTGATACGGATGAAACATACGTTTTTGATCCTTCATATACTCTGCCATACGTTCAGCACGTGTTGTACGTCGCTTTTGTGCGAGACCAAAAATGGAACGTCTTAAATCTCTGCCTTCACTATGCGCTTCACTTTTTTTGTTATCTGTTGCTTGTGATGGTGATGATTCTAAAACTTCATTCTTTTTCTTTAATATTTCTAAAATTTAAGAAAAAAAAATTACTGAAGATGTAGCTGACAAATGAATGAATGATCTTATAATCTAATAAAAGTTTAGAAAAAAATGAAATTTACAAATTTTACTAATTACTTGGTTTAGCTGTAACATAAGATGCTTTAATGGGTGGTGCCTTTCTTCGATATACAATCTTTCGACTTGGCACAGTAATACTGAAACAAAGAAAAAATTTCCCTTCATAAATTAAAAAAGTTATCGGAATACTAAATATAATATTTCTATTCCATATTATTTTAATTTCGCTGATGTATTTTTGCACTGTCGAACATTTAAAATTGCCAAAATTCATGTTTTCATATAATATGCAACATTTAAACTTCTCAAAAATATTCCCACGCACGCAATATGAAAAACTTCTCAGATTCGTTAAAATTATTGGACAGGAAAGGACTTCAAAAAATAGATTATTCAACAATTAAATCTTTACCATTTATATGTTTTTTAATATCATTCATTTATTTCACATATTATACGTCTTTTTATATTCTAACATTATTAAGAGAATTATTTTCATTTTTTGAATCTTACAGAAATTGTGCATTGCCATTTCTGTTGCCACATCGTTTGTATGAGTTATGTTCGGTTAAAACACATACTCGAAGAGAGTTTGTATTATTAAACGTGTAATGAGCAAATGCCGACATCAAAAATTTATCAAAATTTATTTTTCAGCAATGTTAAAATATATATATTTGTCATTAACAAAAATACATATGATTAATACATATGTTTAGTTGATCAACTGCTATTTTATGATTTAAACATCAGTTTAAACTGTGCTAATCTTTAAATGTCAAAATATTATTTTATTTGGCTTTTTTTCTTTATATTTTTTAAAATAAAAAAAAAACGTACTATTTGCGCATAATTGGACATAGTATCGGTAAGCGCAAAAAGATCAAAACGTTGATCGGGCGTCAAATTAACAACACGTATGCAACGTAATACCAAATGAGAGAAGTGAACACGTTCCGGCTTAGCAGCTAACCATGAAATGCCTGTTTCTACGACATCGTATTCACTATTAATATTTAAATCACATCTGTAAAATTTCATTGCATGCTCATATCAATTAGATAATTACAATTCAAATTTATTAGGGAAAATGTTCAAAATTTACACATATATTTATATTAAACGTTTAATGCAAAAAATAAGAAATTATCACAAATAAATAAATTCAAAAAATAATTGTAAACCGATCCAAAATACGAAGGATTGCATCAAGCGGAACATCGTTAAAGGATGCCAACTTCCGAATAATCGGAAATTTATTAACCGCAATATCAATAACTTTTTTTCCTAACGATGTATCCAATAATATTTGCATACAAATCATTGTTAGAATATGCACCAGGAATTGTTCATTTTGTGTTACCGATATTAAAATAAACTAAACGAATGAAATGAAATATTTTCAAAATATCAAATTTGTTATTAAATTTAGAAAAAAAAATATTTCACTTGACCGAATAATTTGTTCATTTAATTGTGTGTTTCTCCTTTTTTTGTTTTAAATACATTCAATCACTTGCTTTGTTATATTATTCAAATATAATTTTAAATTGTTCATACCACAGATTTTAATTTCAACGATATTTTTTTATATTGTTGTTAATTTTTTTGTTTGAAAAAATATTCTATGATTAATTACTAAGGCTAATTAAATGAAGAAATGAAAAGAGTTTTTTTTTTCTACCTCTTCAATTTTTTTCAATAAAGTTTCCATTTCTAGGATACGAGCAATTTCTGTCATATCACCAAGAATGGAACTTGTAATTCGTGCCTTTGTATTGCCACCATTTGCCATGTAATCAACCAAAGTTGCTACCGCTACCACATCGTAATTTGATAAATCTAATCTTTTCGGTACTTTACCATCCTGTTCTAGCTATAATTAAAATTTAAAATTTATAAATTTCCTTAATCATTTCTGTTGCTATTGCTTGTTGAAGAATTGTATTGAAATGTCGAATTTTAAAATTTTATTTTTGCGATAAAAATTATGATGATTAATATGCGATGATAAATTTTTGTTATTCTTTTAAACCTGTTTAATTTTCTTAGAATGTTCTTTAAGCAAATCAATATCAATGGCAAAATCATCTCTGTGACTGTGAAAAATTATTTTTCGAATCTTCTCTGATCTGAAATAAACCAAAAGAAAAAAAAATTAAAAAAATAATGAAATAACTGAAATATTCCATTACACTCAGTTATTCGAATATCGGATTCTGAAATAACATCGAAAGAGAGAAATAACTACAAATTTATTTGATAGGAAAAAGAAAAGGAACAGAAAAGCGAAGGAACTTTGGTTTGCTCGGCTCAGGCATCACCAACCGTTCGATATAGCAATAAATTACTGATAAGGCTTATTGTAACTTCAATGAAACTTTATATTATCTCCTCATAAAACTTTTCTCCTCGTTTATGCAAATTTTTCATTCCTTCCTTCTTAAATAAAACTAAAAGAGGCAATTAAAAATAAGAAAAAATCAGTCTTAAAAAATCTATTCGAATAAAGTCATTATTTATGATAAAAATACCGTGAAATAATAATTTTCTAATGATATCCTCTTTTTAAAGATGTTTTACATCTTTTTTTAACGAAAAATTCTAAAATTAAAATATATTTCATAGTTATGATAAGGATGTTAAATATTAATATTGTTGTTATCAATGGATATATCATGTAGTCATAATCGTAATTTCAGTCATAACTTTCATGGTAATGTTAACTCAAAGAATAATCTTTATTGGAAGACATCAAATTTTTTATTAATTTTTTTGTCTTTCAATTTTTCAAATGATATTTATGTCAGTAATTCCAAAAAAGTGTACTGCGAAGATGATCACTGTTACAGTCCTGTTCGATTGATGCAACAAATGAACTTTGGTATGTGTTTTATAAAACGAAAGATGATACAAAATTTTGAATTGCAATAATAATCTTAATAAAATTCATAATCAAAATTATCACTATTATTGTTATTGTTATTGTCATGATAAAAAATAATAATTTTACAGTTAACATATTGAGAAAAATGATTATTAATATCAAATCTTTGACATTTGTTATTTTAGCATTTATTCTACTACCGAAATTGTTTTCTTCTGAACGACTGACAAGTGACATCATTAATTTTAATTTTTTTGATATCATATTTTCGTTATTGATATTATTCAATGAATCATCGTCAGCAGATGATTCCTTTCTCGAAGCATTCTCGTCTTATAAATTTCGTTTGTTTCTATTCAATGACATTACATTTGATAATAACATATACAAGCTTTGCTCTCCTTCTTTCTCTGCTCAATTTAATTTTCAATGCGAAATAATGGTTAAAAAAAATGTCTGTCTTTAAATTTCCAGAATTCTGCTTTTTCTTTCAGAATATATGTGAAAGAATCTCAATAATGAGCTTTTTGGAATGAGAAACTAAGTGCAAATGATTTTTGAAGTAAATTCCTGAAAAGTTATCTTTTTCTTCGAAATGTTACGAAAATTATCTTCATACTGATTACTCGAAAATATTCGAAACATATATATGAATGCTCATGGAGATTTACTTAAATTTTTCGTATGTATGAATATATTGTTTGCCTGAATTTGACGATAGAATTTAAGAATCTTAAAGGCGGTATGTCGATGTTATTATTTCTGACATCATCGAAATCGCAATTTATTTTCTTTATCTCTTTTTTCATGTTCTCGTCCTGTACTTAGTCTATTCGAAATTTCAGTAGTATCCAAAGACGATTATCAAAGTCAAAGATTATATGCACTAAAAAAATAACTTATTAGCAACAATATAAACATAGAATAAGTTATTACACGGCACATAAACAAACGTACCCAGAAAAGATATGTATCCGAAATAGAATTGGATGGAATCTTAATGCATAACAAAAATGACTGAAAGAAGCCCTCGTATCACAAAAATTATTATATAAACATATCGCTTTAGAACACAATATATAGTATATCAGAAATTGATAAGCCAATTAATAATCTATCTTATTTAGCTTCGTTGAGATGATGTCTTTGTGACACCTCCCATAATATTTTATGTATATTCTACAATTCCTGTAAAGATATAATAAAAATCAAAATAAATAAAAGAAAATACAGCATTTTCATCGAGAAAACCTCAGAGCTATAGATGCTAACAAGAGTGAAAAAAGATGAAAAATCATTTAAATTAAAATCTAAACGCCCGAACTTCCACTTGAATTGCTTATTAGAGAATGCTCATTTGCTTTATATTGATTATCATCTTTCTGTGTGCCTGCTTTTACATCATCATCCAATGATAACTTCTGCATAACTTCCTGCAACAATCATCAATAATTTTACAAACAAAAAACTTAAGAGCGTATAATTTGCGCAAACTTTCCACATCAAATTGAAAGCGGAGATCTCTTATCAGAAGTCAAAAGTAAAGAGAAAAACGTCAAGCAACTGTGATTATTAACTCGTAAATTAGAACTAATCTATAATAGTCAACAAAATTAATTTGACACTTATTTCTAGTGCGCTATTTACTTTATTTTTCGTAATTCGCTCGAACTTTCTTTAAAAAGTCAACATAACCTTCTCACAAGAGAAAAAATTATTTTTGATTCATTTTAATAACTGTATAATTTGATATTGAAAAACATCAAATTCTTAACCGCTATTCTTACCTCTTGTGAAACGCTATTGTTGTCAGGCATATCTGTTTCGCTCACTTCTGCATTTCCATTAGCGAGAGTTGAAACACTTCTAACATATCCATTCATGGGATGACTCGCTTCTTCCATTAACTTTTCAATTATTATTGAATTAGGACAATTGCTACAAATCTCTTTAATCTGTATAACACATTTTTTTTCCTGCAAAAATTCCTTGTAATTCAGTCCTCTTTTGTTACATTTTGAAATAAATAAATTATCAGATTAAGGATATGATGAAAAAAGCATAGAAACAAATGAAGACGAAAGCGATGTAAGTGTGGAATGAGAAAAACACAAAAAATTCAACACTAAATTAGTATTTGAGAGAAATACTAACATATAGTTCTAGTGTGCAGGAAGTATGATAAAAAGGTCGACAGCATTTTTCATATGGATATAAAGCCAACAGGCAGCCATTAATGTATGGTATAAAACATCTCCCTAATAATTTAATTGCCTTGTCCATGATCTGAAATAACACTAATTAATAAAGAAAAATCAAAAAAGGTCTGTAAACCTATTGGGTCAGCCTCTTCGGGTAAGTTGCTGCTTTTCAAGAGTTATAGATAGATTTCCTTCGCATTTATATTTTGGAATAATGAAAAAATTTTGTTTTTAAAACAAATACATCTACTTATATATAGTGTCTCCCTCTTTCTACAGAAGAACTTTTTTCACAGCCATCAGCATTGCAGAACTACAACGACTGAAGGAATTAAAACCTACTACTTTTTCAACCAGCTCTTCCATATCACACAGCCAACAAACAACAACCTTCAACGAATTAGTCAACTCCCTTAGAACTGCATTGATCTGAAAATGAGTAAATGATCAGAAGAGATCCCGAAATTTATGGAAAATGAGTATTTAACAAAAAATGTATAACGGTACTAACCTGAGTTGGTGATAATCCACTTCGCAATTCATTTAAGGCATCAATTAAGGTATTCCCGTAAATACATAAATCATCCCAGAATGCAAGTACTGAAGGAGCTGACAGCTGCTTACCATTTTGAGTTCCGGGTACGAATAAAGCATCCGGTATTTCTCCATCAATTTCTATAGTTCTACATTGTTTTAAGCTGAAATAACAAAGTAAAACACTGCTATAATCATTCGGAATACTGCAATTAATCTGAGATATTATCAGCAACACAATTAAACAAATAAGCATATTAAAAAATAAAAGTCTCGAATTATCATAAGATCTATTTCAGCTAAACTGCAAATTTTAAGCTTGCATGAACTAACTTATTCGCTGCATTCTGAACTTTCAAGGAGAATCTCTTGCTGACAAATTCCTCGATGTTTTCTGCAATCAGTGGTCGAAAATCCATTCCCATTCGACCAAACGATAAGGCAAAACTCATTAATTTACTCGTCAGAGAGCCAATGTCAATCTGCACATCGTTACTAACACTCCTGAAAAAATTGACCCCTCAATTATGAAATAAAAGTGTTCCTGGAATAAGAATAAGCCTAACTTACTTAATGCGATTGAACATTACATCGAGGTTATGAATTGCCCATTCATTAAGGATTGCGGAAGAAGTTGCTGTTTGCCAAACATCCCATCGCTGATTCACCGACAACTACAATATTACATTCAATAATTTTAAATGAAACATAAATATCAAGCTAATTTGAAGTTACTATTAGGTACAAAGAAAAGTTACTACCATTGTTCCAAAAAACATAAAAAATCCTCACATCAGCTTGTCGTCTGTTTACTTCATTTTCAGGAAAAACAGCTAGATAGAGGACCAGTGTGTCATACATACAATCACGATAAATCTCAACCATGCGAAGAATGAAGTCTGGCTGCGACTGAAACGTAATTAGACAAAACTATTAGTATTTTGACATGTAAGGAAAAAATTGTTGAACAGGCAATAGGTTTTTAATAGACAATAAAAAGGAGATTGATCTCTTTCAGTAGGCACTTGAACTGCATATCAGATTTTACCAATTTACAATCAAATTTTAATGAAATTTTTGATTCAGAGTTATTGGAACCGGATCTTTGTAAATTTGAAAAAACAAATAGCTTACTAGAATATCCGAAAGTCGCTTTTCAAGATACACATCACGGTATTGCAAAACCATAATACGCAATTGCGTTAAAGACAAATAAGGAATCTTCCGGATATTATTCACAATTTGAATACTACTTGCCAAATCAATAGGTCCAGCAAATCTGTTGAACAACTCATCCAACAACTGATATCGAGCTTCGATTAGCTTATCAGCAACTCGCTGCAGATATATGGTAAATTGATTTCCAAACATAGTTAATCTCCATTTCAATCTTTAACGATATCTCAACTAAAAAAATTATGAAAAAAACACATATGGGTTTCACACAACATTTTAAATAGTAAAGAAATTCTAATAAACCTTAATTATAGGATTTTTGGTAAGTCCGTGTGTTTGCAACTGCATTCCATAATTCGTTAACAAATAAGCCATGTCATAATACCCTGCCCGAATACAGGTATCCATACGCTGAAATCTAGCTTTTTGACCAAATATCTCAAAATTAAGGAAGTTCAAATTGAAAATATAATAATATAGCTCCTGTTTCGAAATTAAATTAAAATTTTTTTTTGAAAATTGGAAGTTTAAACCTTTTCAACTTTGAATCTTAATTTTTCAAAATACTTTCAACATTCCATTTGTTATAAAAATACTTCGTATAACTTCAGAATAACTACAGATGGTAAAATCATACGCTTTTCTAGAAATTTACCGTTGGCAAATTTAGAACATCCCACAAGTGAGAATTTTTACTTTCAGCAAGTTCCAGATAACGAAGCTCTTGTAAAACTTCATCATTTTTGGAATTAAACTGTTTCATAGATTCTCGTACCAATTCGATCTCTTTTTCAATATCTTCAACCAAATCGCTTGCTTTTCCAAACTTAAAAGACTTTGAATTTCCTTGCATTCGTTTCATATGACTGTCTCTTTTAAACATTAACAACAACTAAAAAAACAAAAGAAAGTTGTATCTGAATAATCAGAAAAACAGAATTTCTCCGGTTATTCATTCAGTTTTTCATAAAACAAAGACTTTTCGGCACAAGATCAAACCAATTTTCGACAAACACTGACTATTTTTCCATAAAAACTAGCTAGTTTCCAGCAAAAAATCAGCTATTTTTCAAGAAGAACTAACCAGTTCCCGACACCGCTCCGTGGTACTTCCGGCATCCGCATAAATCCGATAATTTCCATATGCCAAATCGCTGATTTGTTGCTGAACGTGAAGTAACTGAGAAGATGTATTCTGCTTCTCTTGCTCTAAAATTACGTCAAGAAATAAAAGATAGTTTTTTCGGAGAACAATTAATTTAAAATTTTTTTTTAAATTTCGGAGATTACGGATTGTAGATGAGGGAGGCACATAGTCTGCAATGTATACTTTACACAAAACGCACATAAAAATAACAGTTTCCTTGTGAAAAAAAATTAGTTGAAAATGTTAGCAAATAAACTAACTTTTCTTCCCCAAGTATGAACTAAGGTTTCAAATCTATTGAACCTTAATAAAATTCAAAACAAGCTTACTAAGTTGTGCAGTGCTAAGTGCACGCAATTCATCGTCCAAAAAATGTGACATTACAGAAATTTATAACTGTCAAAGCTATCAAACATTCTGCGAAGTGAACTTTTCTTCAGTAGCAAAAAATATGAAGTGATAAGATTAAATCTGAAATTGGAATGAGACATGCAACAATAACACAGTTGAAACGTTAAAGTTTCACAGAGCTCCTAATTGTGGATTCAAGATGACAGAGTACGGTACAAATAGAAAAGATTGTGTGGAGAGGAATTGCTGAGGGAGAAAAATAGTGAGCGATAGGATTTGTAACAGTAGAGAAGTAGCATAGCTTGAAAGGAAACGACGGGAATAATTATAGTTGGCGAAATATAAAGGAAGAATAAGTGATGAGATTAGACAGGGCTGACATCAATATCTAACTATGAATGGAGAGGAAGAGAGAGAGAGAGAGAGGGAGAGAAGGGGAAAGGTTTGAGGGGGATAGAGATGTGTTAAGAGACTGAAAAAACATTTGGAAGATAGCAATGGCAATAATAATATTAGAGAGGACATTTGAGTTAGGATGAAATAGCATGGAGAGGTTTTGATAGAGAATTGACACAATTATTACTAATTAATTCAACTAAGTTTTAATGTAATTTCTCGAAGTTCAGTTCATTCCAGTAAATTCTTGTTACTGACATCATTTGTAGTAAATTCAAGTTAATTTTCGTAAGAAATTGTAATCATTTGTATACTAATCGTTTTAATGTGAATTATGCATACGTGATTTGCGCCATTCTTCTCCTTTTTCTTTTTTTTATTCTAAGAACTTTATTTGTGACAAAATGACACTAAATTGTACTCATTATTCAGATTTTTCATGCAAATTATTTGATTCGTATTTGATTCACGTTTTCCATCATAATGGGTAAGAAGAAAAAAGAAATTCACGTGCCAGGATTACCGGAACAATGGAAAGCGTACTATTCGGAGAAAAGAGAACGGTCAGGGAGTTTTTCTTTCTTGACGAATTAATTTATTCAAGGAAATAGATGAAAAGAATAATAGAAAGGCTAGCTTAACAGAAGTTAAATAAATGAACGTAATCATTGGGGAAATTTTTTTTAAAGTCGCTTTAAATGGCATGTAAAATTTACGTGTCGTTTAGTTTCGGTATTTTTTTTGTCAAATACTTCAGATATTAATATCTTACTATTACGATCAAACTGTTATAGAAATTAAAAAGAAAAAAAATAATTAAATGCTTAAAATGCAATAGCAATGTAAAATTCGTGCCGCATGTAAGGAATAATGTAAATTTACATAAAGGAATGTACTGTGATACATTATAACCTGATATTCATCTTATTGTTCATCCCTACAGTCAATTTTGCTGCTTAACGTATTGGAGAAGTGTTTGCCTCATTAAGATGCATTAGGAGTAGAAAGGAAAAAAGTTTGGTCCATTTTTTTTGAAAATATTTTAAGAAATTTTTCCATAAATATACGTAAAGGAAAATCTTTTTTATAAAAGTTAACAACTGCTTTCTTCAAATATGCAAATATTAAGTTAGTAATTATGGGATAGGTTAAACAATAAAATATAAACGAGAATAAGAAGAGTTTTTAAATAATCTTCGTTTCATGTTTTATTTCAGGATATTTTATTTCAATACGGAGACAAAACAGTCAACATGGGAAATGCCGATCGTGGAGAAATCCTCGAGACAATCTGATTTGTCTGCAAAAGAACAGGTTGCACAACACCAACAAAAAGTTTCAAGTGCTTTGGAAAAGTGAGGAATTCTATTTCATTAGTTAATAGGAAATAAATGAATTATTATTTAATTTGTTCTTTCATTACTCTACTAAACCGCAAGTGTTGATGGTGACTTCTCGAAATGAGTTGTTTTAAAAGATTCTGATATTTGCAAAGGCATTGTCATTTTATTACGCAATAATAGTTACCATTTTAATAGAATTTTTTTTTCCTTGTAAGGAAAACTTCTAGTGAATGAATTGATATTCATTGACTTTTTCAGTGAAAATCTTGCTTATATGAAAAGTTACAGAGAAGATGGGAAGGAACTTAATCTTTTATATTCGTTTATGCCCCATTGCAAAAACTTACCATTTTCCAGAAATTCTTGATTCATTTTTTTTTTTTGTAATTTAGAAGAGATTTGACCTCTCGAGGAAGTTTGGATCCAATGAAAACTGATGAAACGAGAATGTCAGATAAACTTGATTGTTTGCATATTTTGAATACGCCAAATACTGGTGAAACAAGTGAAGAGCTGATGGAAATCGATGACATTAACATAGAAGGTCTTTTTTTCTAATTGATGCTACGATACGTTGCTAAATAGAAGCCGGTCGATGAGATTCAACGACAGAACATTTGTCATCCCTCATTTTGTTTCCTCTTTTTTGAAGTCACACCATTCTTATCGTTGCATCCGTTGTTATTGCTACTTCACAGTTAAATTTAAATTTCTTTGAGGTGTCGAAAATATGGAATTCTTACTATTTTAGAAATGAACTTACATGAAGAGCCGATGGAAATTGATATTGTTGTTGAAGAAGTACAATCTTTTCGCCGAGAACACTTTTTGCATCCAGATGTGTTTGCCAATGTTTGTATTTCTTTAATTATTCTGATAATGATACTGCATTACAAAATTTTTTGAAAAAATGAACTCAGAACGATTAACGAAAAATGAATTGTTTTCAGTGTTTTCAGGTATAATATTTGTGAAAATGAGGTATGAGTAATAAGCGAATGTTTATAGTTCTAATGACTTCTGTTAGTATTTCTCATGCTATAATGGCTTTTATAGTTAATTTTTCAGGCTTACTCACCGTTTTTCCATAAATATGCCACAGCTTGTGAAACAATCAAAAGTGCTGGCAGGGTGCTTGTAGTTTTTGACACGAGTTGCCTTCTCCAAGATACAGTACTGTTACCAATGTGCATCCAAAGTATGTATCATTTCATGCCTCATATAATGTTTTTATATAAGAGAAAAAAATTACCTTGAAAAGCAATATCTAAGATATAACCGGTTTATATCTATTAGTGCAGAAGCAAAAATTAGCATCTTTATCAGGAGGATAAATCTTCGTTTTAAAAAAAATGATTATTTTGCAGGTTTATACTGCTCACTTATTCCATATACAGTTCTCCAAGAATTAGATGGCTTAAAGAAAACAGTGGGTTTTAGCTGATAATCGTGAAATTCATTTATCATTAATTCAATTATTTAGTTAAATTTAGTTAGATTTTTCATGTTTTTTTTACTTTTAA